GATGGGACAGGAGGAACAGGAGGGGCAGGAGGAAAAGAAGAAGGAGAAGAACGAGGAGGAGGAGGAGGAGGAGGAGGAGGAGGAGCAGGAGGAGCAGGAGGAGGAGGAGCAGGAGCAGGAGCAGGAGGAGCACGATGAGCAGGAGCAGCAGGAGCAGCAGGAGCAGGAGCAGCAGGAGCAGCAGGAGGAGGTCGAGGAGCAGGATCAGGATCAAGGGGAATGGAGCTCTTGTTCTTCACCTGATATTTGGTCCTGAGAGTTTCAAAGACTCCTGCAAGGTCATCCAACGACATGGAACGAGAGGAAGTTGCCATGGAGTAAGTCCTGACGAGAAGAATCAAGAGGTTGAACCAACAAACATGAGGTGAATGAGATGAGATGAGATGAGATGAGATGAGATGAGATGAGATGAGATGAAATGAGATGAGATGAGATGAGATGAGATGAGATGGGATGAGATGGGATGGGATGAGATGAGATGTCATGTGAGTTGTAAGACGTTCACTCGAAGGAATGTCTGTCACGAACAAAAAGCAACGGCAAACGAAAATAACACAATAGAGATCGAAGAGACATCAACAGATCATCGCGATACATCCCATGCACAAATCATCTCTTGTCTTGACATGGAACGATGGTAGACCTGTCGATCATTGCGATGACTTCTTCAAGACGAGTCAGGTGATACTCCTGCTCCTTCAACCTGTTCTCAACAACTTCCTTCTCATGCTCTAAAGTTATCATGTTGTCCTTCTCTGTGTTAAGAATCCTTTGTGTTCTAAAGATGTCATTCTGCCATGAGAGTGAGAATTGGAGTAGATGTACACCATGACAGACCTCTGCGCCCTCGACCAGCACTGCGATGTTGTGAACAAGAGGGAGAGTGAAAGCTTCGTCTGCATCGACATCTTCAAATGCTCCTATTTGTCCTCCAGTCACCTAATAGCAAACCAACAAGTCAGAAAGACAAGCAGAGGAACTGAATCAAAAGGAAAAATAAGAGCAATGCCATCATGACATTGTACACGACAACAATGGTTCGACATAGAGAGAAAGTATCACATCACATCACATCACATCACATCACATCTCATCTCATCTCATCTCATCTCATCTCATCACATCACACCACATCACATCACATCACATCACGTATCGTACCAGCTTGGCCTGTTTTCCTCGCATGTCCACAATCGCAACATGCTTCGGCTCCCCGCCCCCAAGGCTCCCAGCCCCCAGCTCCTCCGCCTCCTCCTGGATCTCTTCTGCTGTCTTGTAAACTTTCTTCTTCTTCTTAGGCTTCACGTCCCCTACGTCTATCTTCCAGTTGTACTCCCTCTTGATCTTCTTCTTCTTCTTCTTCCCCTCCTCCTCCTCCTCCTTCTCCTTCTTCAGCTCCTGTTTGTGCTCCGGCCGCACTCCTAGACCCTCCAGCTTCACGCGTTTCTTGGCCTCAATGGCCTTGGAAATACCCGACCCGTCCTTGCCCAACCCTCCTCCCTTGTACCTGAGACAGGCTAAGATGCCCTGAACCAGAAGCAAGACAAAGAAGGGAGGAACGAGGAGAAAGAGGAAGCGAAAGAGCATGGGGAAAAGACGGTGATGGTGATGGTGATTGTGATGGCGATTGTGATTGTGATTGTGATTGTGATTGTGATGGTGATGGTGATGGTGATGGTGATGGCGATGGTGATGGTGATGGTGATGGTGATGGCGATGGTGATGGTGATGGTGATGGTGATTGTGATTGTGATTGTGATTGTGATGGTGAGGGTGAGGGTGATGGTGATGGTGATGGTATTGGTAGCAAGGAGTACCCCATCTTCTGCAGCATCTTGAACGCTTTTCCTCCCGCATCCATGGACTTGAGGCGATGGAGAGATTCATAGTCAACGTCCTTGCTCGCCGGCTTCTTCTCCTCCTTCTCCTTCTGCGCTCCGAAAGAGGTAGGTAGCTCTGCCTCCCGCTGCGGCACCCGCTCCTCCTCCTCCTCCTCCTCCTCCTTCCGCTTGCCAAACCTTCTCCTCGCTCCCAGACCCACATGCTGATCCTCGTCGCCCTCGTCGCTCTCATACGATCCTCCGCTGCCCTCCTGCCGGAGCAAGCGACCTCAGCATACAGAAGGAGAGAGGAGAAGAGCAGCAGATGGCAAGCAAGAACACTGGACCTCTCTCCTCACCTCGTCGCTCTTCTCCTCCTTGTTCAGCTCGCTTCCCTTCAGCCCTCCGCTCACGAAGCCCATCGGGGCCGAGTAGCTCTTCTTGAACGCTCCCCCATCGTCCTCGTCGCTGTCTTCATGGAACACGCCATAGATCGCTGAGTTCTTGCTCTGCCTCTTTCCCTTCTTCTGCCCCAGCGCGTAGAACTCGCCATCTTCACCAAACTCTCCTGCATCGCACCTCTCGTCAGCGCAGCTCTTCGCCTCCCCGCCAGTCTCACCGCCCTCATAGTCGTTCTCCGTGGAGAACCGCATGGCGGGAGCATCGTATCCGTCCATGGTCCCTGCGGGGAAAACTCAGCCTTCACCAGCAAGATGGGTGGAGGACGAAGGGAAAGAGAGGGGAGGAGGCAGAGGAGATGCGAGTAAGGATGCGACATGCGCAACATTGCACGAACATGATGATACCAGCTGTCTTCGCTTGTCACTCCCTCCCTCCCTCCCTCCCGCCTCCCTCCCTCCATCGATCGATCGATCCATTTTCTACAGATCCTTCCATTGCTCGTCTCCTCTTCGCTTCGCTTCCTTCAGTTCAAATGTACTCTCTCCTCTCCCTCCTACCTCTCCTCTCCTCTCCTCTCCTCTCCTCCTCTCTCAACCTCCTCCCCTCCCCTCCCCTCCCCTCCCCTCCCTCCCATGTGCCGCTGTATATGACGGCTGGGTAAATAAGAAAATCAGGACAGCGTGCGGAATGGCCGGAGAAGTGAGTCG